TTTTCATAAAATGATTGAGGCGGTCAACGGACTATTTGACTGTTACAGTTAATTTGACAGTAAACGAGACGTTTCACCTTTCAAGTGTCAATATTTCGAAAACAATGGAATTCAGGAGTAAAGTAAATTAGAGAAAATTGTAATAATACACGGGGTGTACTATTTGAAAAACAAATTGAAGATGACGCTCAGCCGCGATTTTAAAATTTTGGCTATGATTTTTTCATGAGAAAGTAGGTTTTATGTCCCATTAAAGCTCTCCAAATTTTGTTGAGATATACCAGGTGGTTCAAAACGGACTTTAGACGGGACTGTATAAATTTTCCTATGTGTTGAAATATTATTTTTTAGACGCTAGCACATGGTTGAAATCGAATATTATGAATGGTAGATTGGATACATTATGAAATGACGTGATCATTTTCTCGTATCTACTCAGAAAAAATATATAAATTGAGTGTATTCAATTGAATACAGTATGAGCGAAAGGACTAGGTTGATTATTGACTTCATTCGTTGGCCATGCTATGGTCAATTTTAGCTGAACGTCAATACTTCATATTTTTCATCAGTTATCTTCGATCCAATTCAGGTTTAATAGATAATTCTCCTTCTGATTGCTCCGAATTTTATTCTTGTCAATCGGTGAAAGAAAAGTAAATTATTGCGCACTGTAAAAATATATGCACTTTTCTGTTTGGAAATGTGCATGTGCCTATCAATAACAGAACGACAGAACCTACAGGGAAATGGACTCGTAGAAAAAGTATACCACACAACTCGAATGCACCTCGTGCGAAATATGCATTTTCAACTAATGTTATGTAATAATAACATTAATTGACTGAATTTCACATTTGTCATTGTCCACTGAGATTATCATCTGCTAATACAGCGATATTCTGTTCATATTAGAAGCGCAGAAGCAATTAAATGTTCATTATTCGCCTATTTGCCGCCAATGATTAATCTCAAACGATTGTGATAATGTGAAAGACTAATTATATTGTTCCATGGTGGAGAGCGAGCGTAGATAGGGGAAAATTCATATCACAATTTCCCGAAGGTAGATGTGTAATTTCAGATAAATGTATAAATGAAACGGTTTTCATTACGTCCAAAACACTTAAATGTAATAAAATATTCTCAAAGTTAAGCGCCCTCTGTACGCCAACATCTATTATATGGCTGGGCCAAATTGGATATAAATATTTAATTTAATTACAGAAAAGTGTGTGTACTCTTCATTCGGTATGACTCCATTTGATTCCATTTTTTGGTTTCGTTCGGAATTCTGAAGCTCTAAAGCTTAATGGAAAATTACAGAGTATGGAATATACGGAACCTTTTCAAATAATTCAATCTGATGCTGATGACAGCTACAAAATATTGTAACTCGTGTAACTCTCCAATCTAAAAGCAGCACTTTCCTGTGCGGTAATTTGCAATTAATTTCGCGATTTGATGACGCGATAAGAATTATGCCATCCGATACCAATTTGATGGTAGATCTTGAACCAAAAAGACATTACAAGAGGATAATTCGCGAATCCAAAATTCTAGGCGCTACCTGATCGTAAAATTGTGAACCTACCTAGTGACTAATCGGTAATGGGCATAATATGATTTAGTTAGTAATAACTTTCCAACAGTCTTCAATACTTCAAAATAATCCCTCATAAAACTCAGAAACGACTGTATCATACCGATTCACTTTTCAAAACAAGAAACATCACTCACAATCCTTCATTGTTCTTTACGTCTCGCAGCGCCCTCATCGGTAGTCGAAATGGTGAATGTCCCCTTTGCGAATACCAAACGTGCCGCGATTCAAACTGATCTCAGTTGGTGGCAGTATGTCAATATTGATGAGAATATTCGCTCCTCTCGAAAGATAATATCCGATGGACCAGTGTAAAACTCATCATGTGGATTAGAATACTGGTGCATCGGATATTATCTTCCGACAGGGGCGAAATATTATCGGAAATATTGCCGTTTGGATATTCGCAAAGGGGACATTATCCCCTTTCATTTGCTTTTTGTTTCAACTCCTTATCACATAACAGAAGTATGTCGGGAATACTGGCTGCAAATAAATCGCTGTGCCGTGTGTTTGACTCAGATTGAGGAGTGACACATATATAGGTTTTTGATATCTACCATTCAATTGGTATCGGATGGCATAATATCTTATGTCGTTATATCAAATCGCGAAATTGAGTGCAAGTTATCGCACAGGAACGTGTAATTTTTCAATCATACTGCTTAGAATAGTGTAAGGTGCCGTTCGATACAATACAATATTTTTACATGCCTTTGGGACATATAAAATTCAGTTATCAGAAAACGGTCCGAATTTGCAGCCGGCTCTCCTACTATATTTTCCAAAGGAAACATACATTATCAAAACCTTTATGAAGATCATTCCTTTAACTCGCAGTATATGGCCTCTTCTGATAATCTGTGATCACTGCATCTTAATCATTGATCCGAAAATGGGATATCGAATGCTTCCATGAAATAATTATAAGAATGTATACTAATAGTACGAGTTCCGACTGCAAGATTACTACGTTCATCTGTTATTTGATGAAACTAGAACTTTATCATATATTCATGAATGGGTTGCGTGCAAGAACTGTCAGATGACCGACCCTGGAGGCACAACATTGAAACACAACCTCACTTTTCTTATTTGTTTACATTGAAATAACTTTCACAATTATTTTGGCATACGGATCGTATTTTTTGGCTATTCATTAATTCGCTCATGTCATCACATTGTGCTCTTGTACAATGCACATAAACTCCAGCAGAAGACTAAGGAATCCTGTTGGTACATTATGTTTTAAAAGTAAGTACCTACTATAGTCACTCATATATAGTTTTCATTATTGAAATTATGTAATTTCCCTGATTTCTCGGAATTCCTTCTGCAATAGGAGCTAAGAGAAATACCCATGAAATTTCTGAAATAATTCAAGAATATTGGATTCATGCAATCAAACGGGAGGACTGGTCTGACATGCTGACGAAATATGATCGTGTGTTGTAGACATTTTCAATCAATTAGCAGTATTAGCTTGTATTGCAGAAGTGGAATTTTCATAAGGATGACAACATTTCATAATGATAACTATGTGAGATTACTATTTACCTGAAAAATCATATTCCTTCGTCTCTCGCTGAATTTTTTGTGCATTGTATAACAGCACATTGCGAAGGCATGCTGAAATTAATGAATAGCGCAAAAAACACGATTCGTTTGCCATAATATTGTGAAAAACTATTTCAATCCTCTGATTCCTTTGTAACCAAATAAAAAAGTGAGGTTGTGTTTCAATAATTCACAGAAGAGTGAGTGAGGTTGTGTTCCAATATTTTGCCTCCAGGGTCGGTCGTTGTGCACGCGACCTATAGAAGAATATATTTTTAAAAAAATTGCCTTCTGTGTCATATAGGCTATGATGTGCTCGACTTCAAAGATTCAATATCCAAAAGTAATTGTTGAAATTATTGTTCTGTCACATAAAAATATTAATGCCATGACATTTTATTGACAGTGGAATCTGCTGACGTTTTCGGATATCATACAGATTGTCTAAAAACATTACCTGCCTTGTTTAATAATTCATTCGAAGTATTCAATCAAATGGATTATTCTTCCTCTTCCCAACATATTATTTCATTGCAGTTCGAAAGAATCTGTTCCTAATTTTCGTATTGTAATTTTTCAACATCGTCCCTGATACACTCTTCGACCTCTTCTGTATTTTGCGGAACCTTGTATATTTCCGAAAAAATATGGCTCAATATATCAAACTTTGAAGACTGTTACGGGATTACTTATTCTTTCGATGTCCATAGTAAAACTTTGAGATTTTTTGTCTTTGACATTTTCCATTTTGCGACAAACACGTGACATGAAATAACAAATGTGTTCACAGAATACTAATATTATGCACTGTTGGCAAGTGTGAGGGCTTCTTTTAGAAGGACTACTCAAGGGGGATCTGTAAAATAAGTTTTACGTGCTGAGGAGTCCTCAAGGAATCCTCAGATGCAGTTCTTGAGGAAACGACTATAAATACGGGCCTAATTAGATACATAGCTGTAAGGTGGAATATATTTCATTTTAAAAACGAATGAATGAAATATTTCGCAGAAAATTAATTTTCTTTCTCTTGAAGACTTCTGCTTTGGTTTGTTGGTCCTAAGTCAATGATATTCCAGCAAATATAAGGAGCGGACCTGCAACATTACTCGGCTTCTCAGTTACCAATACGTTCTCTCGTAAAATTGACAATAATTTTCATGACTCTATGCGATTACCCCGAAAACTCCCAAGAGGAAAACGAACGGCTTTATCATTTCAACTACAATGATGGCAACGAAAATGTATCATCAATCACGCCGACTAATCGTTTCGTATTTCCAACGCACTGTATACATTAACATTCGTATCGCAATAATTATCGGCCAATCAATCCGGCAATATCGTAATTGTCACACACGCCATTTGTGCTCTTCTGACTCTGGAGGGATTCCGTGATCCATATACTCTGTCTCTCTATTAAAATTTGATTATGATCCTCAAAATCCCTTGAAACGGACATGTGATATTTGTTTGACATCATCAATTCGAATTGAAACGAGTGTTAGTCGATAAATAGGGTGTTTCAGATCCAAGCGTCCAGGCATCTTTTGAAGACAAATTGATATAATCAAGTCGGAACAGTTTTTGGAAAATATGGCAGCTTAAGATTTGTAGTGCTATCTCTAGTCCGAAAAATCTCCTTGAATAACTGGTTAGTGTGAGGATAACTGCATTTCGAACATTCCACACTTTGAGGCAACTATTGGTCCCAAAAAAAGATAGGATACTCCTCTTGAGTCGTGATCTCACCCACCAACTTCCACATCTGCATTTAATAGTAGAGGGAAGATATTATGTCTCTCAAGTCAATATCGATAGTAATATCCAACTTTTGTTTCAGACAAGACAGTCCAAGGAAACTGCATCATATGTCAAGCACAACTCGGCCCTCACCTTCATTCCAGACCTCTAGGACCGAGCCAGGGCTCCCTTTATGGCCTGCGCGAAGACCAGATACCACCCAACTCGAGAGTTTGCAACACTTGCAGATGCAAATCGGTTCGGTCGCGCTACACGAATTGCCCCCTTCCGACCTGCCCCAATTCGCGGGGCAGGGTGAAAAGGTTGAGGTCTTTTCCGTACAGGCTGCAAGACCTACCGACCGAGGTCAGAGAGCCGCTGCTTGCGGAATTCCGTATCCCGAACGGCGTGACGAAATGTTGTTCCGCCTGCTACAACAGAATCCAACGCAGACTTGGGCCAGTCGAGGATTGGCCCGAAGAGGAGGTCAACAAACTGAAAGCTGCTCTGAGCGAGATCGGTTCCAACTGGCAGCTATTGGGCGAGAGGTTAAACAAGCCACCTCAGAAAGTTAAAATGTACTGCACGGCTAATCGCAAGAAACTGAAGGGATGCTTGGAAGACGACCGCAAACCTACGCTGTCGACAGACGAGGAGAGTGGCTCCAGCACCTCTAGCTGCGAGGAGTCTATGATAGATGGGGACCGACATTCTAGCGATACAGCTAGCGCAGCAGAAAGTCCACCAGTTCAAGGATCTGCCGATAATGCGGCTAAGCGAGTCGACTACGATTCGAGCGCTACAGAAACCGCGGACGAAGCCCAAACGCCGGACCATTACCAAGGATCGGCTACCATAACACCTGTCATGAATGACGGTCAACCGAGGCAAAATACGTCGCCGCTCAGCGTCAAGGATCTCGTATTGAATGTGATAGAGTTTTCGCTGATGAAGAATGCTGGCGCGCAGCAGCCACTGCAGAACCCACCGGCGAGCGGCATGACACCGACGATATCCTCTATATTGAACAACGACTCCAACGAGGTGACGATAGTAAGCGAGTATAATCTCAATAACGTGAATAACCAACAGAGACAGCCACCGCCCCAACGCGCCGATATCAATTTAGCCAAACTAGTCACGCCGCTTATCGGAGCAACTATTACGCCCGTTTCTGGACCGATTCAGACCCAGCCTCAGCCGGATCCTGTGCCTTCGTCTCGAGACGATCTGATCGTACTGCAAGTGCCAGATGGCAGAGAACCGGAAACTCTAGATCTCAGTTTGAAGAAACCGAGGGAATTGCCACCACCGGCTCACAGCAAACACCAACCGCAACAGCAGCAACAGCAGGCTCAGATGCATCGTTCCGATCCCTACATGTACCACCAAGAGAGAAAGAGTCCGGCTTTTCCTATCAGATCGCAGCCCAAGTTGCCCAGTCCCAAACCAGCCAATCCGAAATCAGGCTCGATCACTTTGGGAACACCGATAATGCCACAGACCAGATACGAAGTTTTGAGGCAAATGCCAGAGGCTAAGATGGGATCTATCACGCAAGGAACGCCTGTCGTTCCTCACAATATGCAAGATAAACGAATGTACGAGTTTTACGCAAAGAGAAGCCCCATACCTAATCAGCCGAACCAAGGTCAGCCTTTGCAGTATCCAGGACAGTACAACAGGCAACCAGCTTACACTGTAGAACAGCAGTTGAGCTCTAGACAGATTATAATCAACGACTACATTACGTCGCAGCAAATGCTCGGCCGAAGGAACGAGAAGCCTCAGTATTATCCCACCGGCTCTCCGCACTGTACTCCTCCTCCACCCCCACAGTCTGGACAGCAACAGAGACAGGGAGTTATCCAAAGACACTCTAGGCCCCAATATCTCCAGCCTGGGCACGAAGCTCTCTCTTCTTTGGTCGATGTCGCCGTACAGCAGCCGTCTTTGCCGGTCCCAAGTACCCCTCACGAAGGCCTCGGCAAAACGATGGCTGACAATATGTTGGAGCAACCTCACAGGTATCAAATCATCCAGCAACAGCAGCAGATGCGGCAGCAGCACCAACGGCTCGAACGGATCGAGGAGCAAAGGAGGGCTGCTTTCCACCAGCAGCAGCAACAACAACAACAGCAGCAGCAGCAGCAACAACAGCAAACCCAGCAGGCTCAGCAACAACAGCAGTCCAGGCAGCAGCAACAGCAGCAGCCTCGTCCTGACAATAGTACTTTAACTGCTGCGAGCTTGATAGACGCTATAATAACCCATCAGATAAATCAAACTGCTGAAGGTGGCAGAGAGGTGGTGACAAACAGTAGAGAGCAGAGGGCTGGTGATTTGCTTTTCCAAAAGTTTCACAGAGGAGAGCCGCCGCCGCAACAGAGCCAGGATAACGGTGAACGTCCGCCTTCCGTCATAAGTGTCGACCTAGATGGGGAATCGGTCAACAAAAATCTCACAGTGAAAGAACTGACAGACTCTGTCATCAGTCATGATTTCGGCGCGAGGCAGAGCAACTACTATCATCTGCAAGAAAACATGAACGAGCAATGGAAGAGGAGGATCCAGCAGCAACATAACGAAGAGAAGCGCTCTCAGACTCCCTATCAAGACGAGAGGCAGATCATTCGGATAGCTCAACCCTCGCAGAAATACCACCTCGAACGACTGGAACCGGTGTCGCCACCGGAAAACAACCATTGGTCTGAACAGAACTTCAGGCGGTATCCACAAAGTCAGCCGCATATTTCTCCCTTGGACTATGTGAAGAACAGGATAGTCGAAGTGATGAGAACCGAAGACGATAAAAAAGAGGCTCAGGACTCGCATCCTCTGGATAAAGACCGTGATAGCCCGGGAGATATGGTGATTGATGAGGAGAAGCATGAGAACGACTTTGTGCAGCAGCAGCAGCAGCAGCAGTCATCGCAACAGCAGGGTGGATTCTATTCCTTTGTTCATAAAGATAGCACTGCCAATGATAGTTCGAGGAATAATGAACCTAAACCTTTACTGAGTGCGCAGTACGAACCTTTATCGGACGAGGATTAACGGTTGAAGGTATATGTGTTTTAGACATTCTTGAAAGTTTGTTTTGTATGTGAATGATTAATATAAGTGATATATTAGTATAAATCAGCGTAATTTACACTTTGAACTGGCCCAGCTATCTCAAGAACGATTTCTCATATTTTTGTATTAATCTTTCGGTTTTTCAAGACTTGTAATATTTCTTGTGGGTGTAAAAGTTTCGATTAAAATCTATTTATCTGTATAACTATGGAATTTGAGATATTGGAACCGTCGAGATGAATGGGTGGGTCTCTTGTTAGCGTCCAGCATTCAGTTATTTTACAATTATTGTAACTTGTAGATAAATATATTTTACTTCACTGATACTGACAAAAACTAATTAGACACGACTTAGAAATGTTGTACATATTATGTGAACATAAAAAAATGTATATGTAAGTCGATATAGAATTAGTAAGATGAAAATATTGCATAACAACTAAATTATTTGATTGATTTTTATGCAATTGTGTGTCCAGTTCTTTGCATTTCCAATGTTCGCCTTTTTTATTTTTATATACACATTAGTTCTGTGAGGCATCAGTGCAAATCTCTACTTCAATTTCTGATCAGTGTATTTTAAAAGTTGTATATTTCTTTCTGTAATGTGTACATGTTATTATTTTAATATTTTTTTGGGAATGTAAATAACTAAAGTAAGTATAAATATTTCTAGCAGTATAAGGGATCCCATTGTAAATATTTGTGAATTTTTTAATTTTTCTGTTTCACAATGTAATTTAAGTCTACGCTTTTGGCGTCTAAAACTAGACGAACTGATAATTTTTCTACACTATAAAACAAATGCTTCCAGAATATGTACACTGTCAATTTTTAAGTTCATAATTTTCAGATGATGACTTGTTATTTTGTTGAAATAAATGAATATCAGTTGGAATTTCGTAGTTTTTTGGTCCTGTATCAGTGTTCCTTATTAATTTATCCAATGTTGGGAACTTGTCAAGCACATCTTGAAATGATCCTTTCATGTATTCAATCTGAAAGGATTCTATCATCGAGATTTCATGACAACCCCAGACTCAAACCACTTTCGGCTAATGGGAAAAATGCAGTGCAGCGGAAGTACTGCAGATGACTCAATTATTTCTCTCCCAAAGCTTTGTAAACCTCACATTTTTTACATCGTTATAACAATGGTTGAAATTAACGAGAAGAACTTCTTCAACTTCAAATGTCAAAATATGTTTTCTTTCTTCCAATGCTTTGTAAACCTCACATTTTTTACATAACAATGGTTGAAATTAAAGAGAAGAAATTATTCAACCTCGATTGTCAAAATGTGTTTATGTAGTCTGTAGTATATAATTATGAATTATAATTAAGTCTATTTTTTTTGTATTAGTCAATTTAGGTATCTTGTATTCGGTTCACATCATGGTGAGTCATGGTAGAGAACAAACTGTTGTGGATAAGTGTCAGTGTAGTTTGAATTATAAATTAGATTCAGATTATATGGAAGGTTCCATTGAACATCTTTCTGAAGTAGACAGTGAAATTGTGATGCATGACCTGTGTGTGTGCTGAAATGGAAAAAATCTGAGGATCAAAAGGTATGTTTTCTTTTTCAGCTTGATTCAGTGCCTGCAAACCAAGAGTATATTCATGTGCCAGAACAAATGAATGATTGTCGTTCAACCTTAAATAAATCTGGTGCTTTTAAAGATACCTATTCCTTTCAAACAAGGTGATGCAACATAGGGAAATTCGCTAAAATAATTTTTTCATGTAGGCTTTTCAATACGAAATTTTTGAAGTAGATATTAAAAATATAATCAGTGGTTTATGGATATTATTTTCAGGGATCTATTATTATTCTAAAAACCTTCAATTCTCTGATTATCATTTCAATTTTATATATTGATAATATGGGATCAGGAATATCGGTAATTTTGCACTTATCATGCGATGGGTTTTTTTTCGAAATTTTTTTTTGGTACTTTCGTATTTTTGTCTGAAAAACACGAATTTGATAATGAAAATGTGAACAAACCACTATTTATCGAGATATTTCAAGAAAAAGTTCGAAATTTTGCCTTCTTTTCACCCTTGTGATGGATGCATTTACAGGTACTTGCTCTTATTATTTTGTCATTGGACACTTTATATAGGTACTTATGATGTACTTCACTGACACATTTTAAGATAGAAAATTCAACAGGAAATATAGAGGAAATGCAGGCTTGCGTTTTGGTGGCGTTGAATTCAACTAGGTTGTTGGTTCCTCAGGCTGTAATTTCCGCAAGATCGTCATTGACAGCGTTGGCCAGCCTTCGTCGCAAGTTCTTTGGAATTCTAAATGAAAACGCAGTATGGAAAGTACTATCGACTGCAAAGCTGTGGATAGGATAAGTGGTTGCTCCCAATAGATCTTTGATATGAAGTGGAAACAATGTTGGTGCCAAAATTGATCCTTTTTGGAGCGCCGGAATTTATGACAATGGTATCTGACGATACTTACTCCACCACCACATGAAGCGATCTGCCTGAAAGAAAACTCGATAAATGATGGCATAGCTGAGGTGGTAAGCCGTATGATGGTAGTTTGTGAAGCAGTCCTTGGTGCCAAACACGGTCGAATGCCTTCGATATATCTAGCGCTACAGCTAGAGATTTCCACATGTTTTTCTAATAAGTTTGCCATATATGAGTGACCATATGTCTATCATTAATGATTCCTGAACTTTCCAGATATTTGATGAGTTCAATGTTGATGATGTCTTTTCCTATCACTTCGGAGATGACCAATAACAGAGCAATTGGCCTACAGTTGTTGGGCAGGCTGTTGTTTCCTTTCTTGGGGATTGGTTGGACTCTAGCTATTTTCCAACAAGATGGAAAAAATACCCGACTTGTAGGAGATGGGTAAATAGCTTGCAGAGAATCGGTGTCAATTCTGGTGCACACTGATTGAGAATAATGGGCTGAATTCCATCAGGACCATTGGATTTATTCGTTTTGAGACCGAGCAGAATGCGTCTGATAGTGCGTTGTTGAAAGACAATTTCGGCCATTCAACTTTCAACAGGTGGAATGTCTGTGTGACCCTGTTCTTAAGTTTATTTATTTATTTATTTATTTATTTATTTATTTATTTATTTATTTATTTATTTATTTATTTATTTATTTATTTATTTATTTATTTATTTATTTATTTATTTATTTATTTATTTATTTATTTATTTATTTATTTATTTATTTATTTATTTATTTATTTATTTATTCATTTATTGAAAATGTTACTTCCAGTCAGAATCAAGTTCTGGTATAAGGAAGTATAGTTAACAATAATACCTAAAACTATACAATTATAATAAACTAATAAATAATATAATATTTGAAAACATTAAGTATCAAATTTTGACAAATCATTTCATATTGGATCGATTGATGACAATAATATTTTATATTCAACCCCAAAAACTCGAAAAACTGCATGTGCAGGAGTCAAATTCATTGTTATTTCTCACATATTTCATTCATCCTTCTGCTACACATCTCAATATACTGTTAAAAAATATTATTCAGAGATCACCTGCAAATTAAAAAAATATTCAGAAAACATCGCTATATGTATAATTTATCCTCAAAATTGGTCTTTACATCTCAATACTTTGTGACTTGACTGGTTTATGCATTGGACCCCTTTTTTTAACAGGCTTATATGAGCTTGATATTTTTGTTCCTATTAACAGAATCTTCGAACGTGATTTTGACCTTGAATTTGCATGCCACGGTGTATGAGGTCAGTGGACATGCGGTTTTTGCATCTCTTCCTCAAACACTGCTGATTTTTTTTTAATATGTTCTGGTTCCCACGAAAAGGTACATCCTGTAATGTTCAGAGAACATCGTGAGAACTAAGGGAAATTAGGTTGGAATTGGTGTTCATCTTGAATTTCTGGAGGTTATATTCCTTGGGAAACACCTCCCTTGGCAATGTGTTCTAGAGCCTCGCTGTTCGTTGGATGAACGAGTTTTTGGAAAGAGATGTTCTGCAGGTCTCCAAAGTGACCAAGAAGGGGTGCGAAGCCTCAACTCGACGGGTTAATCTCGCGAGGGCTGCCAAGAGAGGAACAATTGTTGATATTTCAGAAGAGTCCATGGAAAATCTGTAAAATAGAGCCAGATCGCCAACTTTTCTACGGTGTCCCAAAGAAGTGAGTGAGTTTGTGAGCGAGGCATCACCCCCGAGACGAATTGCCCTTTTTTGGACACTAATTGTTTCTATTTACTCTCCTTGATTTCGACCAACTTCAAAACGTCGAATTGAATTGAAATTCATCAAGGGCCGATCACAATAGCATCATTCAATAATTTTGTTCCATTATCATGATCAGGATCTTCAGGATGAGCGTTTTTTTTTCTCAAATAAATTGTCGGAGTTATTTCCAAAAAACTGAATTTCCGGATTTTCAATTCTATATTTTTTGCGTTAATAATGAAGTTATGACAAAACGGAAACTCATCTTGATAGTAACTTTCAATGCTTCCCAATGAGGCGTCATCTATTTTCTAATCCAACGTTTCGTCTCGGAGCAACTATCATCACCTTCATTTTTTCAAATACGGCCCTGATATTTCGATATCAGATTTGAATAGCCCTCTCCATTCTGATTTTGACGATATGCTTCATATTGAATTTCTCATAATTTTGTGGAAAAATGTTTATATATCAAACTGAACATTCAACAATGCGACATCAACATCAATACTCATTTTAGAATACGTGAATAATCGATAATTTGAAAAATAAAAACAGTAAGAAATAGATATAATATCTAGCAGCTCGTGAGTTATGTGCTGGTGCACCATATCCTACTGGAACCAACAGTCCTGAACTTCCACCAGTCGCGAATTTGAGAGTGAATTCAAATAACTCTTCCACAGAATTATGAGAAATTCAGGTCCGTGTTACAAAAATTACTTGATGATGGCCAAAATAAGTTCTAAACGCAACAAAACCACAATATGCAGCATGTCGTCGAAATCAGAAAGGACTACTCAAATCTGATATCGAAATATCAGGAACGTATTTGAATAAATGAAATTCATAATAGTTGTTCAGAGATGAAACGTTGGATCAGAAAATCAATCACTCCAAATTGAAAAGCATCGAAAGTTGCCTTTGAGATGTTGTTCCATATTTGTAAGAACTTCATTATTAACGCTTGAAAAAAAATGTCACTGAAAATACGGAAATTAACTCGCTGGAAACGAAATGTCAAATCGGAGAATTTTAACATTCATTTTGTTGGTCCTTCACTCGCGCAACTTTTTTTCCATTTAACTAAATCTGTATCTCTCGTAGTTTTCGAGATGCCCATACCGGCCCTCCTTATCTAGGGCACAGTGTATAACCTCCGAAAGTTAAAAAAAAATTACAAAACCTGATATAGGAAATTCCTTTCGTGCGCTCCGAGCGATAAAAAAATATATGTCTGGTAGTCTGGTGAGAAATTGCGAGCAATGAGACTGCGATTTAGAAAAAAAAGTTTTTCCTGCCTATAATCCACAGTTATCTGTAAATATCTGTAAATTAGGCAGATATTCAGGATGGCAGTTCAGACGCGTCGTAGGTATTGAATAGTTCCTGCGTGAAGCTTCGTAGCTTGTAGGTATGGTATAGCTCTGAAATGCACTGGAGTTTGTTGTGTCACCTTGAAATTAATCATGAACAAAGTCCAGTTTCTTTTACGAAACATAAAGTTCGACATCCAAAACCCTCAGATACCAATATTAAATAGAATCAGATCATAATTAGAAATTTCTTTCGCTATTATATTGGATCCGTCATCTTGAATTTTCCAAGTTTGACTAAACAATCATTATCTCCAACCCCGGAAAACCCCAAATACCTTCCAATTTTGAATAGAAT